TCAGATCCTCTGGAACTGAAGTTACAGATGGTTGTTAACTTCCATGTGGGTGCTGGGAACCAAATCTGGGTCCTCTGCATGAGCAGCCAGTGTTCTTAACCTCTGAGCCATCTCTCCAAACCCCCTTCCTTTTTTTTTTTTTGAATGGTGCTGCCAGGGGAGTAAACTGTTAGAAGTGAGATATGGTTAGGTGTATGACTGCATGCCATTCTTTGCAGATTAGCAAGATGCCTGAGCTGTGTAGCTTATTAATAGAGATTTCCTGTGGTACAGGTTATCATCACAGGGAATCTGATGTTGTTAATGAAAACATTTCCAAAACATCCACAACCCCCCCACTCCACCCTTGGCAGTCAGTGGAAGTGGAGATTACCTGACATCAGGGGAGTGAGGGCTGGTCTGGGGTAGGCTAGCTGGTCTAGCTCAAGCGTTGACTTAATTTTAATGTGTGTGTGTGCGTGTGTGTGTCTGTGTCTGTGCAAGAATATGCCACGTGTGTTTGTGCCCCAGGAAGCCAGAAGAGGCTTTTAAAGCCCCTGGAGCTGAAGTTACGGGGACTTGTGAGCTGCCTGATCTGAGTGCTAGGATCTGAACTTGAGTCCTCTGAAAGAGCAGCAGTGTTTCCTAACCGCTGAGCCATCTCTCCAGCCTGCAGGCTTTGACATTCTTGGTACTGTCATTTGATGCCTAGACGTTTTAAACTTGAATGAAGTCTATTTTACCTCATTAATTTTGTTGCTTGTGTTTTTGAGGACATGCCTAAGAATTTGGTGTATCTTGCCAAATTTGAAATCATAGAGATTTACCAGTTTTTTCATAGTTTTATCAGTTGTGATTAGGTTATTAGCCCCCCCCCCACTTTTAATTTTTTTTAATTTTTATTTTTTGAGGCAGGGTGTCACTGTGTAGCCCTGGCTGGCCTTGAACTCCCTATGTAGACTAAGCTAGCCTCAGTCTCACATGGTGTACATCACCATGCCCAGCTATTAGTCCATTTTGAGTTAATTTTTGTACCTTATCTAAGTCCAGTGAGAACTTTGCTTTTTGTGGTAAAATTCCCAGCCTGTCCACATTACATTTCAGAATTCTTTCATTGCACATACGCATGATACAGTTTGGATGCAAGCGTTCCTCACAGGCTGTGTATGCACGGTTGGCCCTTAGTGGCACTGTGGTGGAGGTCATGGAACCTTTTGGACATGGGATCTAGCCACAGAGCTAGGTCCACAGGAGAGGGCTGTCGGGTTGTAGCTCAGCAGCGCTCTGCTCCCTGATCCATGAGATGTGAGCATGTCGTCTCATGCTCTCACTACCACAGAGCACCCAGCCACCACACCTTCCCTGCCATGTGAGCTGTTGCCCTCAAACTAACCCAGAAAAAGCCCCTTCCTCTGCTAAGTTGCTCCTTGTCTGATATTTGGTCAGAACAACAAGAAGTGTAAACCCTGTGCATGCCAGCCAGAAGTCACCATGGATTTCGTAGTATTTTAGATTATTCTGCATTGTATTACTCAAAACAGAACTTAACATGTTTTTCAAAATGATACATTTCTAAGTATAAGACGTTAATTTTCCAGTTCATGGGCTTTGTGTCAGTGCTGCATACAGGTTGGAGGATTCCTTTCCTGTGAGTCCATGGTCTCCTTTCAGTTTGCACATCACAGGCTTGATGGATGAGCATTGGAAGACCCTATCATGACAGGAAGAAGGGATTAAGGACGAGGTTGAACTCTGGGGCGGGAGAGGAGAGGACCAAAAGGTCAGTAACTGTGAGGCTGCAGTGGCATCTGGGAATGCACAGAGGGCAGCAGCAAGGGTGACTGCAGAATGGAAGGAGGTGCTCCCAGGAGGTGCTCCCAGGAGCCAGGAGGTGCGGGTGGGACAGGGAGGCTCACCCACCACCAGCAAGGGATGGTGAGGGGAGGCGGTTGACTTTCCTTCAGCTTTGGAAATAATGCCGACTCAGTTATACCTTCAACTTCAAGTGTTGAGAGCTGCAAGGAGGTGGAGGAACTAGAGAAATTAAGAGTTATTATTTCCAGGCTGGAGAGCTGACTCAGCTCAGCACTGACTGCTCTTGCAGAGGGCCTAGATTTGATTACCAGCACCCACATGGCAGCTAACAACTGTCCTAATTCCAGTTCCAGGGGATCCGACGCTCTCTTCTGACTTTCTTGGGCATTGCACAACACAGGTACACTTACATACATGCAGGCAAATACATTCATACACATAAAATTTAAAAAATAATTTAAAAAAAACGTTTTTATTTCAACCATCATCAGAATGTTGGTTAAGTCTGAGTAAAACTTTGTTGTACATCTGTATTTCTATGGGTTTGTTTGGCTTTTCCCTATTTTTATTTTTAAGATTTAACCTTTTTTTGGAGGGGGGTCTTTTTGAGACAGTCTCCTTGTAGCGTCAGCTAGCCTGGAGCTCGCTATGTGAACCAGGCTGGCCTTGAACTCACAGATCCGCCTGCCTCTGTCTGGCATTATTTTTAACTTTTAAAAATCGTGTGTATGGCTGGGCATAGTGGTGCATGCCTTTAGTTCCAGCACTTGAGAGGTAGAAGCAGGCAGATCATAGTGAGTTCTAGGCAGCTGGGGCTACAGGGAGACCCTGTTCTAAAACAACAGCAAAATCATGTGTTTTGTGTGTGTTTCTGTGTGTTTTGTGCACCTGAGTGTTCATGGAGTCCAGAAGAGGGCATCAGAGCCCCTGGTGTTGGAGTTACAGGTGATTGTGAGCTGCCCAGTGTGGGTTCTGGGAGCTGAATTCCGGTCCTCTGTAGGAGCAGGAAGTGCTGTTAACTGTTGAGCCATTTCTCCAGCCCTGTCTTTCCATTTTAAAAAAAAAAAATTTATTATTTGATTGATTGATTGAGTGATTGATTGAGACAGGGTCTTCCTGTAGCCCCAGCTGTCCTGGAACTCACTATGTAGACCAGACTGGCCTTGAACTCACAGAGATCCACTTGCACCTGCCTCCTGAGTGCTGGGATTAAAGGCGTGCGCCACCACACCTGGCTTATTATTTTTATGTGTATGCATGTACCACCTGCATGTATGTAAGTGCACCCCTGTCACGCAATGCCTGAGGAGAACAGAAGAGGCCATCAGATCCCCTGAAACTGGTGTTTCAGACAGTTGTTAGCTGCGTTGTGGCTGCTTGGATTTGAACCTGGGTCCTCTGCAAGACCAGTCAGTGTTCTTAACCGCTGAGCCATCTCTCCAGCCCCTATCTTTCCATTTCTTAACAAAATGTCCTAGTTAGCTTCCAGCTGGGCATTGTGCCATACACTTGTAAATCCCAGCAGTTGAGGCAAGAGGATCAGGAGTTCAAGCTACTTATAAAGTCCAAGGCCAGCCCAGGCTACATGAGGCTTTGTCTCAAAAGACACTACTAAGAATAGTATGCATTAAAAAAACTACATTCCTCCCCCCCCCCCCCCCCCCCCCGGTGTGGTGGTGCACGCCTTCAATTCCAGCACTCAGGAGGCAGAGGCAGGCAGATCTCTGTGAGTTCAAGGCCAGCCTGGTCTACATAATGAGTTCCAGGACAGCTGGGGCTATGGGGAGACCCTGTCTCAAAAAGACAAAAAAACAAAAACAAAAAACAAAAACTACATATCACTGGACATGGTGGCACATGCCTTTCATCCCAGCACTCGGGAGGCAGAGGCAGGTGGATCTCTGTGAGTTTGAGGCCACCCTGGTCTACATAGTGAGCTCCAGGCCAGCTGGGGCAACAGGGAGACCCTGTCTTAAAAAGAACAAAAACAAACCCAAACTACCTGTTAATTGTCACTGTGCTGGATGAGTGGTGAGAACGCTGCTCATGGAGCATGGTGGGACGTGGTGGAGAGGAAACTAGTGCATCCCTCGCCTCTCACTGGTGAAGCCTCCTTATACAACAGAGGGCAGCACACAGAAGGCCACATGTGGCCAAACTTTAAAGAATAAGAGACTGCAGAGTGTGTGTCCCTGGATAGACTCCTGTATTAAACCTCTCCCACCCAGGGCTCAGGGACCACTGAGGAAGAGGGGGCGGAAAGACTGTAAGAGCCAGGGCTGGTTCATAAACACAGGGAAGCAGAGGCTTTCAGGCCACTGGAAGCTGCACATATGAACTTGTGGCCCCAGACCCATGCCAACTCAATCAGACGGGGGCCCAGGAGTGGATTGAGGGAAATGGGTGGTGGGCCAGCCCTATTCTGGAAACTGTTGGAGACTGAGCTGCTGGGTGAGGGAAAGTAGGCCTTACTTACGATCTCTAGATGGGCTGACTAGACGCCAGTGGATGAATTTGCACCAAAGGACATCTGGGGACAATGCTTGACTGGATAGGACTTAACACGTATGGCAGAATACACGCGGCACAATGGTGGTGGGGAGATGGATGGGGAAGGGAGTCCAAATTTGATTAAGAACTGTTGTATGAAATATACAAAAGCTCAGTAAAAAATGAAAAAAAAAAAGAATGCTGCTGCATCATAGCTCACTTCTCAGAGGATGCTGGGAACTTAGGGCGGAGAGGTATTGACCTGTGGCCATCAGGTAGAGCAGGCCCTGGGATGCACAGGAGTGAGGCGCTCAGAGGGAATGCATTCATTACACTGTGTCCGCCTCTTCAGGCTCATCACAGATTGCTTTGTTTGGTTTCTTATTTTTATAGTCTTTTTTTTTTTTTTGGGTTACCTTGTTGGCTGTGCGTTCTAAGGGCTTTAAGAAAGAAAGGGAAAGATGGACAGGACAAATAGCTGAGCGGGAGGGAAGAGTGTGGGTGACAGCCCCTGGTTGTTGTAGATGCCCTTGGCATGATGCAGCAGAGTGCCTGTTGTTTCCCACATGAATGAGAGCTGCCTCATAATAGTTACTTGGAGGGGTCTAAACAACAGCTGGTTCTTAGTTACTGTGCCACGTGTGGTATTTAGTCTCTGGTTTTGTGTGAATGTGTCTTCTTGAATGCTAACCCTCCCATGTGCCCTCTGACTTCAGGTGCTGCTTGTAAGCAGTAGTTGCCATCCAGACCGATGGATTGTCCCTGGAGGAGGCATGGAGCCAGAGGAGGAGCCTAGTGTGGCGGCAGTCCGGGAAGTCTGTGAGGAGGTATGCACTAAGGATTAGGGCATCGTCCCCTAGTCTTGAACTTGTCCTGTCATTATCTCTGTACTTTGTCATGATCACAGAGGGATAGCCTTTGATGGTCACCATGTCCCTTCCCGACTGACACAGCAATAACTGTTTGTCAGCAGGCTCTGCAGGAGGGCTGGCAGTAGTGACTGTGTAGTGATACCGGTAGCTGTGGCTCTGTTCCAGCATTACCTCTGGTATTGTGAGAGATCAGCTATCAGCACAAGAAACAAAAGGAGCAGGCTGGTTAGTGTGGACAGCTTGGTCTCATTAAACCTCTGGCTGAGGAGGAAGGCAAGGCCCTGGCTTTCCTGTGTCTTCCTGGCCTTGGCTGGTGAGCAGCGCTGGTGATGGTAGCTTTAGTCATACTGCGTGTAACACAACTGTGTGCCAACATACACGGGCTGATTCCTTCACTGCATACCACATCTTATGAACTACTCTGTGTGATAAACAGAAGCTTTGAACCCTTCCTTCCCTAATTTTGAGAATTTCTAGTCTAAAAGGGTTGGGAATGTGGCTTAGTGGTAGAGCACTCTCTTATTATGTGCAAGGCCCAGGGATCAGTCCCCAGGACATCCCCCAGCCCCAGAATTAAAAAAACCTTGAAGGCGAAAGGAAAATGAGAAAGATAGCAAGTGAAAGCTGAGAAGAGAGGCTGGAGTGTGGCTCAGCTGCTCACCACTGCTGCTTTTGCAGAGGACGCAGGTTCAGGTCCAGCACCTGCATGGTGACTCATACCTATTTCTAACTCCAGTTCCGGGGGTTACATACCCTCTGTAGGCATTGCACTCACATAGTGCACACATATACACAGGTAGAAATACTCATACCTATAAAATAAAAATAAATTAATAATTTTTTTTCGGTCTTTTTGAGACATGGTCTCCCTGTAGTCCCAGCCGGCCTGGAACTCACTATGTAGACCAGGCTGTCCTTAAACTCACAGAGATCTGCCTGCCTCTCCCTCCCGAGTGCTGAGACTAAAGGTGTGTATAAAGGAGTCTATAAATTAATAATTTTTTTAAAGATTTTTTTGGTTGTGATACATTTTTTTTAAAAATATTTTTATTTTCATTTTCTGTGTATGAGTGTATTGCCTGCATACATGTGAGTGCACCCATGTTGTGCAATGCCATGGAGGTCAGAAGAGGGCTTCAGATTCTCCTGGAACTGGAGTTAAGGATGGTTCGTAGCTGCCATGTGAGTGCTGGGTATTGAACCTGGGTCCTCTGCAAGAGCAGTCAGTGCTCTTAACCGCTGAGCTACCTCTCCAGCCCCTAAATTAATATTTTTTAAAAAAATAAAAGGAAATCAAGCTGGGCGTGGTGGCACAATCTTTAATTCCAGTACCAGGGAGGCAAAGGCAGGTGGATCTCTGTTTGAGGCCAGCCTGGTATACATAGTGAGTTCCAAGCTAGCCAGGGCTGCATAGTGAGATTTGTTTCAGAAAAGAAAAAAGGAAACAAGGGGAAGGAGCTGATGTCCCTTCACAGCCTGTGGCGGTGCCAATGCTGGGCCCTGTGCTGTGTCCTCATTTAGGACTTGAACTCAATCCTGTGGCTTCTGCTGTCACCATGTATTTTCTTGGCACACATAAGTAATATTTTAAAATTTATTTCCTTCTTCTAGAGGAAATTAAGCCTGACCGTGGGGACATTTTAAATAGCACTTAGAACACATCTAGATATCTAGTTATTTAGTTCATTGGTAAAGTGCTTGCCTAGCACATATAAGGCTCAATTCCCAGTACTACAAAAACAAACAAAGAGTCTTTGGGCTGCAGATTTGGTTTGTCTGGTAAAGTACTTGCCTTGCATGCATGAAGCCCTGGGTTCGATCCCCAGCTCTACATAAACTGGGCATCACGTGCATGCCCAGAATTTCAGCAGTAAGGAGAGAGATGCAAAAGGATCAGCAGTTCAAGGTCTCTCCTTTTATCACGTATTTGATGTCCAAAGTGAGCTTGTCATCCCTGCAGGCCGTGACCAGGCTTCCCATATAAGTCCCCCTTCTATCCACTACCGGCCTTGGCTTTTGTCCAGGACTCGGTCTTGTGGTGGTAGCAGCCTGGCTGCCACTGTCCACCATTACACCTTCAAGCATAGGGTCTGCATTCTCGCCTCAGAGGTTTGTTATTTGGGGATAAAGAAACCTTCCCAGGAGTCCCCCAGCAGACTGTTTTCTGGTATTCCAGAGTTATTTGACTAGCCCATGCCAAAAACAGCCCCCATCAGTGGGAAAGACAGATCTGTGTCCCAGCTTACAGAGCTTCACCTGCTGTGATCCGATAGGAAGCCTTTCAGACTATGGCAGTTTAAAAGCATGGCCAGCCTGGTGTTGGGTTTCACACCAGTAATTCCAGCACTGAAGAGGCAGAGGCAGGAGGATCACTGTAAGTTGAAGACCAGGCAGGTTATATAACAAGTCCCTGTCTCAAAAAATAAATAAATAAAAGAGTGACCAGTAGGAGAAGATAAAGACTTCAGAGTTTTTGTTTAGAAATTTACTTAGAATGTTATATGCTGGTTCTATAATATGAAAGGATGAACACATAGCTGGGTATGGTGTGCACACCTAGAATCCCAGCACTCGGGAGGTAGATCAGGGGTTCAAGGCCAGCCTGGACTAAATGAGATACTGTCTCAACACCTCAGCCTCAAAAGAACCCTAATAAAGGGCTGGAGAGATGGCTCAGTGGTTAAGAGCACTGACTGCTCTTGCAGAGGACTTAGGTTTGATTCCTAACACCCACATGGTGGCTAACAATTGTCTGTAACTCCAGTTCCAGGGGATTCCAATGCCTTCTTCTGGTGACTGCGGGCATTGCACAATCAATACACTCATATACATAAAATAAAAATAATATAAATAAACCGGGCTGGAGAGACAGCTCAACGATTAAGAACAGTGACTGTTTTTGCAGAAGACCTGGGTTCGAATCCCAGCACCCACATGGCAGCTAACAACTGTCCGTAACTCCAGTTCCAGGGGATCCGACAGCTTTTTCTGTTTTCTGTGGGCATTGCATGACACGGATGCACTTACCTACATGCAGGCAATACACACATACACATAAAATAAAAATAATAAATAAAATGTTTTGGGGTTTTTTTTTTTTTTTTTTTTTTTTTGAGACAGGGTCTTCCTGTGTGCAACTACATCCGGCCAAAATATTAAAAAGTAATAATAATAATAAGCCAGGCATGGTGGCACACGCCTTTAATCCCAGCATTCAGGAGGCAAAGGCAGGTGGATCTCTGTGAGTTCGAGGCCAGCCTGGTCTACATAGTGACTCCAGGACAGTTGGAGCTACAGAGAGATCCTGTCTCAAAAAGACCCCCCCCAAAAAATAGTAATATAAAAAAAACAAAAAGAAATGGAATATCTCAGGCCTCAATCAGCCTTCCTTTGCCAGAGTCTGACTTGACCAGGATTCCCAGGTGACTGCAAGCCCCTGCATTAGAGCACTGAGTTGGTATGGAGTCATATCCTAGTCTCCTGACGAAACTGTGACGGGCTCTTCCGGGGCTGGACTCTGGGTTGTCAGCTCCACGTCCATCCACGTCCTCTCTGCACACAAGGAGACCGGAGAGTGCTTTGCCCAGACTGGTGCTGAATGCAGCTAAGTCTCATTTGGGAGACGGGATCGCCAGCATAAACCCTTGCACTGGTTGCCACAGGCACAGGAGAGGAGCAAGCGGGGCTCTGAAGGAGCGGACCCATCCCGGTAGGTCCCTTTCAGCGGCACACATTTTGAAAAGGCACTCTGTTTCTTCAGTTGGCAGCTGTCCTGGCAGCTTCCTGCACCGGCTGGTTGGTTGGTTGGTTGGTTGGTTGGCAGCTTCCTGACCCATCCTAGAGGCAGCTACGCCCTTGGCAGCCCAGTTCTGTGGTATGCTTTGGGGAGTTGTTCCTGGAACTTTGGCCTGCAGGTCTGTTTCCTCAACCCTCCCAGTGCTTCTGTAAGGTGCTTCTATCCCTTAGCAAACCCTTCTCTTAACCCAGTAAGATAGGAGTCTACTGATTGCAGGTCCAAATCTTGACCAGTCCAGATTCCTTGTGCTTTTGTTGCATCTGCCATCCTTCCCTGCCAGGCCCTGCTAGCCTACAACAGAACTGAGACATCCCTCTGGCCAAGGGATTTGTCAGTGTGAGAGAATCAGTATTTCTATGGTTGAATCAAATAGACTGGAGTCCACAGGAAGTGAAACTGACAGAATTCACTTTAGAATCTGCACCTCCCTCATAGCTTTTTACCAGCTGAGTGTTATCTGGCCATTCAGCAAATAGGCAATGTCCATTTGTCTTGGACCAAGCCATAGCCTCCTGCTGGAGATAATAGAAAATGTGTGAAACATTTGAATTTGCCACAGTGAGTTTCAACACCTTTTAGCAAATACAAGCAAATAAAAATATCTGAAAACTGAGATTTGAAGGAACTGTGAGTACGGCGTGCTGAAGGGACGGTTAGTACGGCGTGCTGAAGGGACGGTTAGTATGGCGTGCTGAAGGGACGGTTAGTATGGAACCGTTAGTACGGCGTGCTGAAGGGACGGTTAGTACGGCGTGCTGAAGGGACGGTTAGTACGGCGTGCTGAAGGGACGGTTAGTACGGCGTGCTGAAGGGACGGTTAGTACGGCGTGCTGAAGGGACGGTTAGTACGGCGTGCTGAAGGGACGGTTAGTACGGCGTGCTGAAGGGACGGTTAGTACGGCGTGCTGAAGGGACGGTTAGTACGGCGTGCTGAAGGGACGGTTAGTACGGCGTGCTGAAGGGACGGTTAGTACGGCGTGCTGAAGGGACGGTTAGTACGGCGTGCTGAAGGGACGGTTAGTACGGCGTGCTGAAGGGACGGTTAGTACGGCGTGCTGAAGGGACGGTTAGTACGGCGTGCTGAAGGGACGGTTAGTACGGCGTGCTGAAGGGACGGTTAGTACGGCGTGCTGAAGGGACGGTTAGTACGGCGTGCTGA